TTTTGATCCAGCACCCTTAAAATATTGTCAAGGTGGGTTCTTACACCATCTTCAATATCATTGAACATAGTTAAGACGACGTCATATTCGAATGTCAATCTGGGTAGAGAGGGTGAAAATTAAAGGCGAAAGAAGACATGGATTGATTGAAGGAAAGGAAGATATGAAGACTTGGGTGAATGATCGACTCCTCAAATAACTTCGGTGATACAGTTGTAGACTTGTACGTACAACCTTCTTCCTTGGTAGCGAAGCACGCTTCCTGCTATCCGTTATTTCTTAGGGAAATTTATAACAAAGGATCTGTTTAAGGAAATATTTATTGCCGCCGACTATAATACTTGTGATTATATTTATTGAAGCGCAACACCGAACGACACAAAGCCCAAATCTAATGGGCCCACACTTGGACCTTTGTCATTCTAGATCTTTCTTTTCTATCCATATTTCTTTATTCCTTTTGCATCACGCTGTCCACAAATAGTCGCTTACCGTATTACAATGTTTCGATATGAATGAAATAAGATAATTTACCATGCATTTTCTCTCTCTTTTCGGGTCTTTAATATTACAGGACCTAAAGACTTCAATTCATATGGAAGTGATTATTATATCCCCATAAAATCAGAACCCCTAAAATCAAAAACTTTCCGTATATTATATATATAATTTCGCAATTAAAGGATGAGATTCGTCACTTTTTACTTTTGATGATGACATTTGTTTGCGACTTACTTGGCGGTGACTTTTTTTCTTCGCCGTTAAAAGCTATCAATGGTGCATGGAAAGCTTATCTCAAGCCATTGATGCCGAGGTTAACAATGGCCCCTGGCAGCCAATCAGAATGGGAAGGAGTGGGTCACCTCTCTCACATTTGTTCTTCGCGATGATCTAATACTCTTTTGCACCACGACATCCACACAAGTAAATCTGATGCACAATATCCACAAGGATTTTTCAGAACATTCAAGACACAAAGTCAGCAGCACCAAAACAAGAATTTCTTTTTTCTAAAAATGCGAGCCAACATTCCGTCAATGCCATCAGTACCCACTTGGGCTTCCAAAAGACTGATAACTCGGCAACTACTTGGGTGTTCCGTTACTGCACACCAGAGTCACAAGAGACATACGAGTATATAGAAGAACGGGTGCAAAGCAAGCTGTCAGGTTGGAAGGCGCGAGAACAAAAGGACAAAATACTGCAATTCCCATGAAGGCAGCCCATGCTCTCATCAATCGACCTGAATGATTCCGCGTTAGGATCAGCAAGAGCAAGTATGGTTGGAATGGTGAACCCAATCAGAGTGTGAGAACCAGGAACGCATCGCATTTTTGGCGGAGTCCAGCGGCAATCATGGAAGATATGAACCTAGTAATCAAATGGGCAACTGGTAATGGCCAGTATGGAATGAATGGAATGGCGAAAATTCAGTTTGGAATCTAGCTTGGAGATGGCCGGGGCTTCAAAGAGTGAGATCTTTCCTGCGGCTGGCATTAAGCAACTGGCTCCTAGCTAACGAAGAACGCTGCAGAAGACACATACATTACTCAAACCACCCGGTGTGACCTTTGTGGACATATAAATGAGGATTTGGACCATATTTTGAATCCTTTGCTTGAAGCTCTGGAATGCGCGCAACAGAAGAATATTCAGCCAAGATGATATTCAACTGCAGAAGATACTTGTTCACGAGGCCCTCTCCTTGACTGATCAAACCATTAGGGCTGCTGACTTTGACAAGCAAATTGCCTTGTAATTTTGTTGTCATTGCATCCTTTATCTTGTTGAGACCCTTGTGCAAATATTAGCAATAATAATACCTTCTTCACTCCCAAAAAAAAAAAAAAGAAGGAAAAAACCATCAATGGTCACTTTTTGACTTTTAGCGAACTTCCAATTTATTTATTTTTTTTGTAGTGATATATATCTCCGGCATCACCAAAGTAAGTTTTATACTCTATTTATTTATTTATTTTTTTGCAAGAGGTCAAATTTTAACATAATGTTGCACATAAACCAACACATGTACACATGTTTGAATATGTAACCTTCCTCCAAAGAGGCAGTTGGCATCACTAGATATAAGGGATTTTGGTGACTAAGTTTTATCGATCGATGCTATTTTGCCCTGATGTGGACTGTGACAAAATTATATATATTGATGTTTTTCTATTTCTGTTGTACTTGTTACACAGTTTCCCTCTACGATGAGCTTGCAACAGATCAGTTACTCCCTCTGATACATAATATGAGATAATAGTTAAGCTTTTTCATAAATAAAAAATGTTAGTTAAATCATTAAATGTGTTTTGAGTTAATGAATTTACCTATCTGATCTTTCCTTATTAAAGAATATGATTAGAATATTCTCTCATCTCTCTCCTCCTTGGAATAACGGATAAATGTTCCGGTCAACTTTTTAATATTTTCGACCAAAATTTTTTTCTACGAAATTTCTTATATTTTGGGAAGAAGGGAGTATTACGATTCCTCAAGTTTTTGTTATTTACAAATAGTTAAATAGGATGACCCCTCCCAATTCAGCTTAATTTTCTTTATTTTCAATGTTTGGATTTCTAATTTTATTAGAGAGAAGTTCGGTTTCCCACCACTCAATGAACCCAACTCCATGAATAAATTACAATTGAGTATTTTATTTATGCATCCATATTTTAAATTTTTAGTAATTCTATTAGTGTGCATTGCAGATTTGTTTGCACGAAGCACTTTGATTCTATTAATTTGTTTTAATCTGTCATTACTTTCCCTTTTTAACAATAGTTGCCCCAAAAAGGTTATCATCGGCTTCTTACTATGGTTCAATTGTTTTGCTATGTCACTTTGACAAATCTTTTTCTTTCTGGAGAAATTGACTTCTGACGATATGAACGAGAAGAAAGCATATATAAATGGAGATGAACGGAGAAGGCAAAAACATTATCAACAAGCAAGTCCTTGTATTACAAAAACGCCTATTGATCGCGTCTAAAGAACTGTACATGTTTTTCCAATTGAAAGGGCATTAACAATCCTATAAGTGACTCCCATATAAGGACCAAACTCCTTTTTAATCCATGTGTAATTTGTAACTCTGTAGGTACTTTTATAACCTTCTGAAAGTAATCTGACCCTGATGAGCCTCCCACCCCTGAAAAGTTCTATTAACAGCGGCGCACGCCTATGTTTGTCAAAGTCCGTATCAGAAAACGCGCTTTGGGACCTTCGCCGAAGGTGCTCTTGTGATTGAGAAAATTGCGTTAACAACCAAATTTCCCAGATTCCTTCACAGAGAAGGGAATAAAAAGATAAAGTTTAAGAAGCATTTTGATCCGTTCACACAAGCTTCAAATGAACCTATCCAAAAAAAACCCACTTTGCAATAAAACAAATTCCGCCACTTCATTGCCCTTGTAAATCATTTTTCCACTAATCCCATTATTTGTCATTTAACATGATGAAACATTTTGATACACAAGGGCAAGGCTATGACTATAGAAAATTTTGGTCCCCAAATTGCCTGTGATGGAAATCCCCATGTTAATTTCTTAAAATTTTTTTCCGTCACGACTCCATCCTTATTGTAAATTTTATAACATTATTATTTAAATTATAATATTATAATAATTTAAATAGTATATAATAGTGCAGGCTAGTGCTACAATAACTTAGCCAACACTCATTAAATAAAAAGACAAATTCCCAGGACACTCTATTTTTGTACTTCATTGAAACCAATTCTTTTTGTAACTTAAAAATAGTCAAATTAATAAGAGAAGAATATTAACAACTTTCTTATAAAAACTAAAATAAAAGTAAAATAATTGTATTTATCTATATAATATATTCAAAAAATAAAATCAATATAGGAACAATTAAAAAAAAAAAGAAATATCCGCATATTTCCATTTATGATCAATAACCAAACTAATGTTGAAGGGTAATAATTGATTAACTAGAGATATAAAATAATTGTATTTTCTTCATATCATTGGATTATTTGATTATACATATTGAATAATTAGATTTTATAAATCATAATTAAAAAAATATTTTATAATTTTTTTTTTGAATAATCAAGGGTAAAGAAATAGGAGCGGCGAAGATTCCGTGTGGAAATTAAGAGATATTAATTAGGCAATGGTTTTGTCTTTACTTTTTAAGGGAAATGGAAGGAGGGAAAGGGAGAAAATTTTTTAATAAGCTTGATTTAAAAAATTAGAAAAATAAAATTAAAAACTTTTAATTAATTTTTTTATTATTTTATCTTGCATATTTTATTTATTAAAATTTTAAAATCTATTTTAAAATTTTTTAAATAGAACTCATTAAAGTTTTCTTCTCTCCATCATAAAGGACAGCAAAAATGAGAAGAAAAAAAAATTGACTAGCTGCGCCATTCGGTGTTGACTTGATTGATGTCTCCATTAAACTAAAAAAGAGAGAACAGCACATACAACCACTGGCCATTGGCCGAGTGGTGTGTGTGAGGTGTGTGCGTTGCGGGATCGATCCCGTCCCTTTATAACAAAAAAAGGAAAAAAAAAACAGAGAGAGAACAGCACATACAAGTGGACAATGGATTTTTCTCTTTAATTGTTTCTTTGGGTCCATTGTGTACGTTGGGTCCTCCCTAAATCTTGTCAATAAGTGACTTTAGTGACTTTCGAGGAAATTGCCCATGCAACTGCAAATTAATAGTCCACACAAAACGACGCATATCCAAAATACACAATAATATAATTACCTAAAGAAATTAAAAATACAAATGAACAAATTAAATATCCAGTTGTAACTTACTTATGCAGTTTGGTAGATTGAGTGGTAGAAAACTGAACATCCCTTAAATAAAATTAAAAATACAAATAAGGTAAATAAATAAAATTACGCTGAAATGAAAAGATCACTCGTATTAGGAACCAAAGAAAGGTGGTTGCACCTACCAGTATAAAAGAGAAGTGATATGAAGAATCAATCACTCACCCAAATCTTCATATCTTCCCCTCCGGCTGGCAATCAATAATCCATGTCTTCCTTGGCCTCTTCATCCTCTGAACCCAAATTGACCTTCGAATACGATGTCTTCTTAACTTTCAATGGTCTTGCAGATGGGGTAAGAACCTTTCTTGAGGATTGTTTAAGGAACGCTGGATTCAAAACTTTCATTCATGACATGGTCAGGGATTATTCCACATGGGAGATGATGGAAAGGTGTAGAATTGTGGTGGTGGTAATCACACCAGACTTTGTTTGGTCCGGCAAATGTCTTGAGATACTTCTGAATTTAATGCCTGGTCCCAAAACAGTGTTGCCTTTCTTCAATGGAATGAGCAAGAATGAAGCGCGTGTGCAGTTCGAGAGCTTCCATTTGCGAAGATATGAGAACGAAGTTAGTTACTACGAACTGAATTTGCATATGCGAAGATTTGAGAATGAATTGAGTGTGCTGTTGGAGATTTTGCATTTGCCAAGGTCTAATGATGATTATATCTTCGATTGGGACTTCCAACCAAGAGCCGACGCTGTGTGTGATTCGCTACATGGCTTCTCACTGACGGATGATTTTGGGTAACAACTAATCCTTTTTGGCTCTTTTAGTTTATCATTTTTACCTGCCTGCGGAATTCATCAAACTCATTGTGCTTCAAGGAAAAAAAATAGTCAAAAAGTTCTAACATCTATATATCTCTAATGAATTGTGTAATAAGCTATATATCTATAATAAATTAATTAGTAAGCCAGATATGATGGGTTTATTCGTCGTCGGTGAACTGCGTTATGATTTGAGATACTCAAATGTTGGCAGTTCATCATTCATTGGCCTACTCTTTTCTCTCTCCACTAACAAAATAGGTCGTATAGTCCTTGATCAAGTGATCTTACTGGGACCTGATTTCCTCCTTTTCTTTTAAGGTCCGCTGCCGTCCTGATGGTGAACACTCTTTTTTTTTGGTAAAGATTATCTAGCAGCCTTAATTTTTTCTTCTCCACTGATACCTAACATATTAAAATAATTTTTAGTACACCCAGAACTCTTTGAAATATTTTTCCAATACTATCTAACGTCTTGTTAAAATATTGTTTGAGTAACATTCAATATTTAGCAGTTGACACTGTAAAATATATTTTTAGTTACATACGATTTTTAATACATTTAACACTTAAAATACTTTTTAACAGCACTGGATATCTTAAATAGTTTATGATACTTGTTGCTACTTAAAAAGAATATATTAAAAGTAAAACTGCAATAAAAAGTTATTTTAACAGTTTCATTGAAAAAAGTATTTTAGACTATTAGTTGCTTTTTTGTTTTTTTTTCAAAGAGCGTCTCCATCCCCATTTTCACCCCAAAATGGTGTAGTTTTGGGGGTAGAGGACGGGAGCGGACCGTAAAAGAAAAGGAGGAAAGCCAGGTCCATCTTATTGTGGCTAATGATCTCATGGCTAAACAAAAGGGTAAATAAATAAAACAAATTAAAATAGAGAAAATTGATTGAAAATTTATTTGGAGAATGGTCTTCAGAATTATGAGAAGCATTGAGGAAAGTTATACCTTTAACACCTCAAGCGCACCTAAAAAATCTATTGGAAACGATTTTTGCTTTATTTTTACTACATTTTTGTAATTTTTCTGAATCTTTTTGGGTGAACTTTATATAACTATACCTAACGACCTGAAACTTTCAATAGTTCCAATTTGATCCTTTTATACTTTTTATCTTCTTTTTCTAACTTATACCCTCCTTTACCTTTAGGGTGTGTTTGGTTTGGGGGGAGGGAAAATGAGCCCCTCCCCTCATTTGGTTAAAAATTTTGGAAGGGAGCGAAGCCAAAATGTCCCCTCCCCTCCCCTCCCTCTCTCCATTTTAGCTTCCCTCCAAATTGGGGGTTTTTGAAGGGGAGTTAAATTTTTGGACCATTATACTCTTATGACTTTTTTGATATTCCACAATCACTCATTTTATGTTATTATAATATTTATTTTAAATAAAAAATAAAAAATAAAAAATACTATAATTAAAAATATATTATAATAAAAATTAATATAAATTATTATAAAAATAAAAAACATTATTTAAATAAAAAATTATAATATTATAAAATTAATTTTTTTATAAATATATTATTTATTAAATATATTTTAAAGCTGAAAAAAGGCAAAGCTTAAAGAGAATAAAATTTCAATTTTTTTAGAGCATATAAAATTTGTTAATTTGATTATTTCAAATATATTATTATAGTAATTAGAATTAAAAAATACTGTACCAATTTTTTTAATGCACATATTAATATCATAAGACTGAATTTTTATTAAATTATATTATTTAAATTAAAATGTAAATTAATTTATATAATATGTCAATAAAAAAATATAAACTAATATGTAAAGGTAAAATGGTAAATTGATTATTACCATCCCTCCCCTCCCCTTCTTGAACCAAATAAGGGATCATTAAATATCTCTCCCTCCTCTCCTTTTTAATCAAAACAAACAAGGTGAGGATGAAACCTCCCCTCCCCTCAAACCAAAAGATCCTTAGATCCATGCATTAGGACCGAGAATATAGGCCAGCCCACCACAACTCGCGGCTTAGATGGTGTGGGCTGGCCAATCCTAACTTGCCATGTGATAATTTATAAGGCATAAAAACATCTTAGTCTTGATTAAAGGGTAAATAATGGTCGCACAATGCTTTGTCATGTCTGATTAGGCGCATAGCGAAAGTGTCATTATCTTAGTCTTAATTAAAGGAGGTGTCTCTCCCTCCTTTATCTTCCTTTTTCCCTTTCTCCTCCATCTCTTCCATCTCCATTTGGTGGTGCATGATTTGGTTTGCGCTTCAATGGCGTCGATGGAGTAGCAACAGCGTGCGATGAGAGAGGATGGGGCTGAGGAGGAAGGTCAATTGGCACATGACTGAGGATGCTGGTCTAGTCCAAGGATAATCTTTTTGGGCAAGGATATTATACCAAACATTTTTTAAAACCCCATTTTCATCTTCATTCCCATTCCTGCGCCCGTTCCAGTGCTCATTCCCATTTCTGTTTTTAGTCTCTTAAAATTCATCATTATGTGTACCAAATGTCGCGTAACATTGTCCCCCACACCCACACACCATACCAGGCCAATAGCTCCTTGAACTTCCCAATTGATGATTTTGCCCCAAATTTCTTAACATAACGGTGCATGCTGGTTTTCAGGTTAACAGTTAGCAGATTATTCACCAAAATTAATTAAAATAAGCACATCAGTGATAGAGAATTCCGTTGCCAATCAAGGAAAAATCCATCCCAACTATTTTAGTAGCAAATTTTGCAATTGATTTGGAAACAATCATTTTATGGATTGTAGCAAAAAATATGAGCAAGTATATATGGCATTTGTTATACATATGTGAATCTATAATATATCTTTTTAGTAACACGTACTTCCGTCGATTTTCATCTAATTATAATTCTAATTTGCGACCAGGGACCAAGAATTGGTCAATAACCTTATTGCAAAAGCCATATCACAAGTAGGGTTGCTACCTCGTGTGAGACAAGTGCTTGACCGATTAGGCTGGAAATCCCATCATGTAGAAAATACAATCATAGTCGGAATTTGGGGGGTTGGAGGTGTCGGCAAAACTACCATTGCCAGAGCTATTTATGATACAATTGGTATCCATTTCAATTGCAAAAGTTTCCTTGCTAATATCAAGGATGCATGGGAGAAAAATAATGGTCAAGTTCTTCTACAAGAGCAACTTCTTTCAGATATTCATGTGAATCATATGAGGCAAGGACCTTATAGAGGGGCCCTAATAGTACTTGATGATGTAAATCAAGTAGGCCAACTCACTGAACTGTGTGGAAATGGAGAGCAGTTCGGTAAAGGGAGCTTGATTTTTGTCACAACAAGAAACAAGGATTTACTTGATCACTTTGTTGACAAATCATGCAAAGTGGAAAAGTTGGATGACAGTGAGTCTCTTCAGCTTTTTGGTTGGCATGCATTTGAAAACATTGATCCAACAAATGATTTTGTGAATCTTTCTAGGAAAGTAATTACTTTATGTGAAGGGCTACCATTGATTCTTGAAGTTGTAGGCTCTCTTTTGCGTAATAAGACAAAATCGGAGTGGAAAAAAGTATTGAATAAATTAAAAAATGTTTCAAGTGGTGAAACGCAACAGAAGCTTAAAATAAGCCTAGACTTTTTGGCTGAATCAGAGAATAAATTATTTTGTGATATAGCATTCTTTCATGTGGGCCAGAGTATGAGTTATGTTACTGATTTGTTTAAGGGCTCGAGATTCCCCATAGAAATGGGAATGCAAGTACTTACGGAGCGCAACCTTGTACAGGTTGTCAATGACAAGATTCATGTGCATGGTTTGCTACAAGAGATAGGGAGGGGAATGGCTACAAAAAGGCCAAAGTTCAAATATACCTATGATGTATTCTTAAGTTTTAGAGGTGAAGATACGCGTAAATCATTTACTACTCATCTTTATAATGCTCTAAAGCAAGTAGGAATTGAGGTCTTCATGGATGATGAAAGGATTGCAAAGGGAGAACATATTCCAAGTTCATTACTACAAGCAATTGAACATTCTAGAATTTCAATCATTATATTCTCACAAAATTATGCTGGCTCTAGTTGGTGCTTGCAAGAATTAGAGAAAATCATGGAGTGCTACAAAACAACTCAACAAGAGGTTTTTCCTCTATTCTATGATGTGCAACCATCTGAAGTTCGTAAACAGCAGAATGCCTTTGGAAAAGCATGGGAAAGGCTTATAACGACATTCCCGATCAGAAAAGGTAGGAAATTGGCAATCAATTTGAAGAGAGTCCTTAATGAGGCTGCTAACTTATCAGGGTGGGATATGCAAAAATACAGGTACATATTGTTTCCTTTTCTTTTACTTATTATTTGAAATTGCTTTTTCTTTCAGTTTGTTTTTCTATGTGTTGAATTCCTTAATTTTTTTGTAGCATAGGTAGATCCATGATTAATCTACTTTTACATGCACGCCTACCTCTAATTAAAGACCAAAGGAACATTAAATAAATCTAGAGAAAACTAGCTTGCACAATTGCACTGACGAGGATATGAAAGTAAAAGGTTATCCTAATATGTTTCATTAACAAAATATCTGAGTATACTAACATATGTAGCATGAGATTACTAAAATGAATTGTTGAGAAACATATAGAGGAATAAAAAATTTATTTAACAAATCCACCGAAAAAGACTAGTTTAAGCAATAAGAATGATGCAAGGTGTGAGTACAGGTTCATGACTTAAAGCTTCATAGTTTACAGAAGAAAATGTATTTAATTTACAGCTAAATGAGGCTAGTTAGGATAATAAAAACAGGCTAATGTATTAAGTAAAGATTGAGGATCACTCAAAGCCCCTAGCGTAACAAAAGAAATTGTTTTTAACAAAGGTAGCATATCACAGCCAAAAGTAAACTAAGATATATGTGAATGCTAGCTGAATGCTTTTTTTTTTTTTTTGGCTCGCCAAATGGTTTTTGGTTAAAAAAAATCATCTTTTTCCTTTGTTCTAGCGATAGAGAAAGTCGCAGCTCAATTACTATTATTCATCATGTATGTATATAATCAATAGGTATTGATAGCATCGTTTAGAAATGAATAAAAAATTTTGTTGAATTAATAAAAAGCATTTAATGTTACTCAATTGTTGACTTTCTCATAAGATTGTGTCTGTAAATTATTTACGATGAAAATTACAAAATTATGTATAGAAAGACAGAAAAGTGAAGTTAATTTCCATATCACATCGGGATCTATGGTTCATAGAGAAGCATAATGTACTATATGAATCTTATGTGCTCAAGTTTTCTGCAGTTAGGTCATAATAGTATATTGACAATGCAGGGAAAGAATGGTCCTTTTCCAACCTTTTATTCATATTTCTTGTTTCGGCTAACTCCAAATATCTATCATTTTGTTGCTGTTATAGTTTTGTCCTGTGCATGTTAATGCATCGGGGTACAATTCTAGTCATCTAATTCGTTGTTGTTGCCAGAACTGAGGCTGAGTTACTTGATGATATTGTTAAAACTGTCACAATGAGGCTAGACAACAGCAAATACATGTTTGTTGCTCACCATCCAGTGGGTTTGGATTCTCGAGTGCAAGATATCATCCAATTGCTAAGTTGTGAATCAAATGAGATTATCATAATTGGAATTTGGGGGATGGGTGGGGTGGGTAAGACGACGATGGCTAAAGCTATTTACAATGAAATGGGCCAAAGTTTTGTGGGAAAGAGTTTCCTTGCAAATATTAGGGAAGTATGGAAGCATGATAATGGTCAAGTCTATTTGCAAGAGCAACTTCTTTCTAGCATCTTGAAAACAAGAAGAATCAATATACCAAATGTAGGATTGGGAAAATCTCTAATCAAGGAAATTCTTTGTCAAAAAAGAGTATTCATTGTATTAGATGATGTGGATCATGAAGACCAGCTCAAAGTTTTATGTGAGAGACGTGAATGGTTTGGACAAGGCAGTAGAATAATTGTCACTACTAGAGATGAACGTCTGCTTCAAATCCTTCAAGTGAATAAAGTATTCAATGTGAGGGGAATGGATGATAATGAATCTATTGAACTTTTCAGTTGGCATGCTTTTAAGCAAGCGCTTCCTGAAAGAAATTTTAATGAACTTTCAAGAAGGGTAGTATCATACTCAGGAGGCCTACCACTAGCTCTCGAGATCCTTGGCTCATATTTGTTTGATAGGGAAATACCTTATTGGGAAAGCGCTTTGAATAAATTGGAACAAATTCCAAATGGTAAAATACATGAAATTCTAAAAATAAGTTATGATGGTTTGAGTGACCAAATAGAGCAAGAGCTATTCTTGGACATATGTTGTTTCTTCATTGGGAAGGATAGAAGCTATGCTACTCAAGTATTAGATGGTTGTGGACTTCATGCAGAAGTTGGAATTACCCACCTAATCGAGCGAAGCCTTGTAAAAGTTGTAAAGTTTGGAAATAAAAATATATTTGATATGCATGACTTAATACGTGATATGGGAAGAGAAATAGTTCGTGAGCAATCGCCAACGAAGCTAGAGAAGCGTACAAGATTGTGGTCTAAGGATGATGTGTTGAATGTGTTAGAAAATAACATTGTAAGAATGTTTCTTAACAACTTTATTGCACAATTTACTAATTTCGCATTTAAATAATCTTCATACTTGTTTTTTCATCATTCATTATGCTATCCGGTTGCTGATTGTGGGTTATATTGTTTTTGTTTTCTCCTCTTTACCTATTTCATAGGGAACAATGACTATTAAGGGGTTGTCTTTAAACATGCCAAGAAATAATTTAGTATCCTTGAGTACCAAGGCATTTGAGAATATGAAGAGGATTCTTCTACTCAACTTTGATCATGTACAGCTTAACGGAGACTATGGTTGTCTATCAAAAGAATTGAGATGGCTTTGTTGGCATAACTCTCTCTTAGAAAACTTGCCAACGGACTTCAATCTAGAAAAGACAGTTGCCATTGACTTAAAGTGGAGTAATCTCACAAAAGTATGGCTGAAAAACCAGGTATTTGCAATGAACTTTTGGAATTAAACACTAGTAAAGACGATTTGTGCTATTTTTCCATCTATTCTGTTAGTTTATTTATTATACGCATGGTTTTTACTTTGAGATGATCTCTTTGCATAGGTGATGGAATGGTTGAAAGTTCTCAATTTGGGTCATTCTCATTGCCTAACAGAAACACCTAACTTCTCAAAACTACCGTATCTTGAGAAGCTGATACTTAAAGATTGTCCACGTTTGTGTATGATTCACCCTTCCATTGGGAATCTTAGATATCTTATTATGTTAAATTTGAAAAATTGCATTGGCTTGGAGCAGCTCCCAAAAGGTATATATGACTTGAAGTCATTGAGAACTCTCAATCTTTTTGGTTGCTCCAAGATTGAAAGGTTGGATGAAGACATTGAGAAAATGGAATCCTTAATGATTTTGGGAGCCAGTCACACTGCTATAACACAAGTACCTATCTCAATAATGAGACTGAAGAACATTAAATATGTTTCTTTATGTGGTTATGAAGGATTGCCCCGTGATGTATTTCCATCTCTTTTTTGTCGTGGATGCCCCCAACAAATCATTCAAAGTCCTTTTGTCAAGCCTTTGGGATCACGCCATCGTTAATCAAGTTTGTTTCACATCCTTTGTTTGCCAAAAGTCATAAACTGTTCAAAGCAATATCAAGAACATCTCAAGCTTCACATAAAAAGACGCCGGCATTGATTGGTTTTCACGAGCAAGTTTACAAGAAAAGATCAGAAACATTCACGAGTTCTCTCACTATTCATGTAGGTGAGCTCAACCGAGTCATTGACACACTTTTAAAAAGTGTTGCACAGGTTATTCTCTTTATCTCTCTACTAAAGCATAATTTATTTGGGCTATGTGGAAGAACGTCTTTTTCTTTTTATACATCTTTAACTTAAATGTTCAATGCGTGTTTCTATTAATTTCATTTGTGCGCATGTATGTTGGAAGACACACGCTTATAATAATGTATGTGCACATCTAAGTACGTAACAATCCCCCTTGATTATGCTGTTAAGTGTTTAGAAGGCATCTTGAAAGTGTTAATTATGTTTAAAATAGCGTCAAATGTTCGATATGTACATAATCTAGGGATGCATGTAATTGAATAGCTTATGATTGCTTCTTAAGGTTTTAAAGCATACTATACTCCGCATTCGAATATTGGCTTGTAATGTAGCTGACTTCGTCTGGAAATATTTGCTTCCAACGATGGCATTCAAGCACATTTTGTTTGGTGTTTAAAAATGTACATGTTCAAGAGTGAGTGCTAATATCTTCTGTACCTAAACGCCCATCTGTGCATAATACATTCTGGTATATATGTACGGTTAATCGGGTTCTTCTTTGCTATGTTTATGACTTAGGGATGCAATGAAAGAGGGTTTGGAGTTAATTCTCTTCCTGGAGACAATTATCCTCATTGGCAGAATTTTAAAGGTGAAGGATCTTCGATATTCTTTGAAGTTCCTCAAATTATTGGCAAAAGCTTGAAAGGATTGATTCTGTGCGTAATATATTTGTCTTCTCAAGATAACATGACATCTGTATATCCTGTTGGAGTCTTGGTATCAAACCGTACAAAGGGTGCCATTAAATTCTACCAGAAAGATGCAACAAGTGCCTCAAATGATGAAGATAATTGGCAAGACATAATCTCTAATTTGGAGCCTGGTGACAGAGTGGAGGTTCTAGTCACTTTTGCTTGTGAATTGAAAGTGAAAAATACACTTGTCTATTTGGTATATGATAAAGATGTTAGCAAGAGAATCATGTATTGAATGTATCCGAGAACATATTTTTATAGGCAGTCTTTGAATGTGAAAAAGAAAATCTCAAATAAAAATGTAATCACAACTGTTGTTAGAGCCAAGCTGATAGATAAAAGATTTTTGCTTGCAGAATGTGATGAGGCAGAGCCATTATCTTGTCTGGCTTTACTTGCCGTATTCTTATATATTCGATCAATGTGCATATTTGAGTCATCGGTTCTACTATAAGATGCATGACAGAGACTAAAAAGGCCCCTGACAAAATTTATTCCTCCAATCTATACTTGCAATTTTTAGGATTATAGGAAAATCAAGTGTTGTCCATGAAAATCATACTAAGACGAGAACCAAGGAAAACAAATGGACAAGGGAACCGACAAAAGTCACTTATAACATGCAAAGTAACATGTGTGAATTCAACTAGATTCCTCTCGCTTGATTCAACGGGATTGTTGCTATGTTTTGCTAGCTTCTGGGTGCGCCGGGAAGTTGTTTCAGTGTCCCTTGGGATATAGACGCCCGTAGTGGCATGTCTTGAAGACTGGTTCTCCACCTTTCCCAAGGTGTTATGGTGATTCTAAACATTCTTCGCTCACAGAGCTGGTGGCTGGACTATGTTCACCTCATCCAGCTGCTTTTTTTTTTCTTCCTTAATATATATATCTATGTATTCTTCTATGCAAAGCAATTCTATTGAAGTTTCGGATACTAAATGTGGACATCTCTTTCATGGGGGATTCAAATCTTAGTTCACCAATTTAAGAGGGATTAACCCTTTCCATCTGCTTTTTTGTTCTTGTATGTCGTGCCCATCATAATGATGAAGGAGTGTCCTGATATAAATTGTTTTTTGTTTTTTAAATTTTTTAGTGGGTATAAAATCCAAAATAAAAATAATTCCTGACCTGTTAACTTTTGTTAAAAGCCATTTTTTGACTTAAAAATGATGAATTCAAAATTTTAAATTTAGACTAAACTGTATTTGGATAATGTATAATGTTAGCACTTGCATGGCTTTCATTTTTGTTTCTATTATTTCCTGCTATTGAGTCCAGGTCCAGCTCATAGTTGGGTCTCTGGTTGTGGGGAAGATAGTAAAAGGGCAGGTGGCTAAGACATATTTTATCTCAAATATGAAGTGGCGAGGTTGAAGGTTAAGAATGAACGAGGGCCCATCAAGTCGCATCAGGGTGGCTAAGACATATTTTAACACCATTGATTAATTCATTCACTGTCCTAGATTGTGCCATTGGTCCTCATTAAGGAAAATGAAACTTTGGTGACACTAGCATTTGAATTGAATAAATCCCTTTTCATATTTCCCTTTTTTTTGAAACTTGATGAATTTTCCCCTTTGAAACTTCATGACTACCATGTCATCAAGTTTGAACTTTTGAGGGACTAAAAAGTTGGTCTTCTTTATTCATGGGACAAAACTTTGAAAGATGATTTATCTCTATTTATAAGACAAATTATAAAATTTGATGAGGAATACTTTTAATTTTTCTAATATTATCCTATTAAGATGTGAAATGACCTACTATAAATGTGGCATTTCTAATTAAATATTAGCCAAAAAAGACCATTAAAAATAAAAATGTAAAAATAGTGGAAGCATATTTAAGACATAAATTTGTTAAATTAGTTTAATTGATGGGTGACGATTGGATAATTTTATTCTATAAATAAAAATATAGGAACAACTTGCCACATTTGGCTGCCAACCAGCGCCTCTATGCATGTTTGTTTTTTATTCATATGTCATGAGTCATGACCATGCACGGCCGCGCCATCTACCCTCCTCTGCCCCTCGTTATGGGACATGCAACCGGCAAAAGTTTTGACTCAAAACCTAATAAACGAGGATCCAAAGTGGGTAATAACTGTACAAGATGACAAAAGCCCCGCAATTTTCGGGATAGAAGATCTTTCCAGATCCCTCGTACGACTCCAATTATTCAACTCCATTACTTCCCGTAAAACACTGCATTTATTTAGTAATCATTATATTACTTCTAATTATAAGACCTAGTTGACTAATTTGAAGAGATTAAGGAAAGGAGTTAAGGTAGTTATTTATAATAAATAAGTGTTGTTTTTCCTAAAATATCCTTACTAATCAACTACATTGGCTAGAACTACAATTATTAGAAGGACTACCTTGAAAAAAATACATAAATATGAGAGACAAAGTGGATTAGGGTCTTATATTTAGGATCAAAATAAAAGTCAGACAGAGTCTTATATTAAGAGCCAGAGGTAGTACTAACAAAAACTGATTCACTTAAAAACTCTCTCTCTCTCCTACTACTCTGTTGTTACTTATAAATCATTTGAATTTCAAGCATGCAAAGTGAAAAATGTATTAAATTAATGATTTTTTTTCATATTTGTCTTTATTAAAGAAAAGTATTGGAAATATGTTTTATATATTCTCTCACTTATTTACTTTATATCTTTCTCTGCATTTATTAAATTAAAAGGGTAAAATGGATTCACCGAAAAAAAAATAAAAGGGTAAAATTGGAATCATATTACAAGTGACTTCACTTATATATAGTAACAATATATCTTCGTTTGATTCATGGATCCTCACAGGTTCTTAGAGAGCTTCATCCAAACATCACGTGAGCAGAACAAAATGCTAGAGTTTGATCTAAAATATTCATTCTCTCTCACACGCAGACAGATTCAAAAAGACCTGGGAATTTCTGTCATGGAAGATTTAGCGCTTTTGCCGTCAGTTTTCTGATACCACAATAAACCATAACATCCCCCAAGTTTGGAAAGATCTTATCAAGCATGGTTATTTCTGATCCTCAAGTTCTCCAGGAGCCTGCAAAAACATCACTTGGTATGGTTTCAATTCACATTTTACCCTGCTTCAGTTATCTACTGATAGATTTGTTGACATGGTTCTCAGTATAAGCAAAATCTAATCTTGGTTTGATTTTCCCTGTGTATGTATAGGCACCACTTGCATATTCAATTATTATTCATATATGTGGAAAACATGTCATAGGGGCTGTCAAAGAAACTAAAATTAAGCTAAATATAATATAACAACCTAACTTAGGTTGAATTCACAAGGAGTCTTCTTATGGTTAAAATTTCTTAACTAATCCACTAACTAACAAGTTAACAAATCAAAGATGCAAGCAAATGAATATCTATTTTATTTTCTGCTTTCATAAATGCAGGATATAAATGTTTATATTTTCGGATTTATCTAAACGAGATGGAAGTGAATGATAGAATTCCAATATGAATGACTGTTCTCCTAGAAATGTGCTGTGCCTTTCGACAACCAAATGAAAGACTTGGGCAACCAGTCGTTGGCTCCCTCAGTGCCAAAACTACAACTCATATGAATCAACAAGAAGGCTAGAATCATTCGATTCAGGGTTCAGGAAAAATAAAATGATAAGTCAATCCTTCTACCAACAGCTATAACCATGTATTGCTATAGAATCGATTAAATGAATCATGGGAAAATGTATGAAATCGATCCAGAATCCATAACACAACATAATCTCAGAATCAGAAGAAGTAATCTCAACTCAAAATTACAAATGAAATATCATCCTACCAAACCTAAACAGATTCTACAGCTCCAATAAACTGTAAATCGAAATCAATCCTGAAACTATAACATGGAATGAACAACTCGCTCAATCAAGCTATAGATTCAGACTAGAGCGAAGAATCTAGAGGACACTCCTTTCAATCAAAAAAAGGACTCAGGCTCGGCTCGTCTCTAGGAAGAATAGGAGAGATTAGCCGCGCATGCTTCAACTCTGCACTGCTAGAGAATGGAAGAACGTTTCAGGCACGGTGGAAGTGATGGAGGAAGTGAAAAATGGAGAGAGACGGAACTTCGAAGTGGTGATGTGTCCAGGGCGGAGATGACAAGGATGGTGGTGAGGCGAAGTCGCGAGATGGAGAGGTGCTTCAGATGACGATGGACATCTCTCCCTCCAATGAATGAGCTTCCAAACCCTTAAAACCAGAGTTCCAAAACACAGCGCTTAGCCTCTAATCCCACGCTGCCTAAACTGCCCTTCAACTTCTTTCTCATTCTCCTTTTAGTCCCCAGCCTGACAATTGCATTATCAATAATTGCAATCATAAAATTCTGGAAAATAAAAACATATTAAAATCATTTATTCACAGACTACATAAATTATTTTCTTTCCCAAATCCACTCAAAATACTCAATTATGCTCAATATTAATAACAAAACTCCTCCAAAATAATAGGAAATTCCGATACAAAAAAGAGTTTATCAATACGCATTTACATGATGGAAATTTTTGTTGTCTGTTTTACTATGTAGCTTCTAATTTTGTCTTTCTATATATTTGCCAATTATTATTTCGTTTAATAATTTAAGATTTTGATTCTTAATAATGTCCGTACTAGGATTCTGTGGAGTATATTTGTTTTAAAGTGATGACCTCGCTCTGCTTTCACTTCAAAGTATCCAGGTAACATCAGTGCATATCAGTACTACGAATCGCACCTACTCTCGAATAAAGCAAAGGACTTTGAAGGCCTGCGAAAAGAGAAGAGTCAAAAGCCTCCGAAGGAGATGCAAACTCTCAAGTCTCATCAGGTCCGATCCTTTCAGATATTTGCTACCACCACCTCTCTTCAGTCAAATGTTCCTGATATGTACGGAAACTCTGATCATGATCATTCTCTCTACCTTTTTATTTTGGCCAAAAGATCATTCACTCTACCTAAACCATGGAATTCATATGCTCGAACTGCTTCCACTGAATCCAAGGTCAAGATTTTACAAGTTTATCTATCTTTGATAAGAAATTGTGACAGGCTTTTCTTAGCTCCTGCAAATTTTAGGTAGGCTGTGTTCTTTATCTTTCATATCTCTGTCTTCACTAGCTAATTTGTCATACCATTTCTTTGCCCCATGATAATAGTAAAGTTATTATCTCGTGTCAATTTCGCAGCAAGTTCAAATTGATTAAGGTTTTATCAGTTTAGAAGTATATTGATCTCATCATTGTTCTGTGATTCTGTTTAGTTATTCTTGGAAGCATTTGCTTGTACAGGAACTAACTTGAAGGAGTTGCAGAGTCTTGGGGTATAAGAAGTGAGAGCTCAAGATC